GCAAATGGAGCAACACTCGACGACCTGGCTATTGTGTGAAGTTTATTCACATAAATACTATGGAGATTAACTGTCAACTCTTCAAACCCTGTAAAACAAACATTACAAAAATACAAGTCACTAAAACTACAAACTTGAAAGCTGAAATAATTTTACGGTCCCTGTTATGGATCTAGTTATGGGATGTTCCAAGACAAAATCAGAGTTTATGAAGGTGAATTAGGAGTCTGGAAAGATGTTTTCTTCCTTAAATTATTTTCGATATTTAAAATCACATCCTAAGAAAATTTATGAACTTCTGACTAAAATTTACTTCATTGAATAGATAAAACTTCAGATTTGACTTCGTCATAATATCTGAAATCTAGTTCAGATTTAGTTAACTTTGACTTTCTTACTAAAAGAATGCAACTAATAAGGAAAAAAAATTAGTGTTGAAGATTTTCTTTCTTGGTTTTCCGGTGAAGGCACAAATAAAGATCACAATCTACTAATTTCCTTTTCTATTTTTTGAATATCAAATTGAAAATACTATTTATGAGGTTTTCCGTTTTCCTTCTTTTTTAAGAATAAAGTCCTTACTCCTAAGTATTCATTTACCTTAACTTTTTAAATTAACATTAGTGGCAATGAAGTTAGCTCTTAGTTGTTGATTGAGTATCAATTATTAAGTTTTAATGACTGATGTATGATTAAGCCATGTTTTGCTACTGTTGAACAAAGAGCTGGGCATTATACATTAACTGTAATTTGCCTTGCGAATATTCTTCCTTATATTTTTGTTTTCAATCTTTTAAATCACATCATGAGAAAAGTTAGGAATTTCTGACTATAAAATTTACTTCCTTGAACAGACAGGACTTCATATTTGACTTCATCATAATATCTAAAATTTATTTTAGATTTAGTTAACTTTGACTTTCTTACTTAAAAAAATGCAAGTAAATAAAGAAAAAAAGACACTTGGTTTTTCATTTACCTTAACTTTTTCAATTAACAGTGTGACAATGAAGTTAGCTCTTAGTTGTTGATTAAGTATCAATTGTTAAGTTTTAATGACTGATATATGATTTAGCCATGTTTTGCTACTGCTGAATAGTAGCATTGGGATATATACATCAACTGTAATTTTCCTTGTTAAAGTTATTTATTATATTTTCTTCGGTCTTTTAAATCACATTCTGAGAAAAGTTTTGAATTTTAGACTATAATTATACTTCCATGAATAGATAGGAATTCATATTTAACTCCATCATAATATCTAAAATCTATTTCAGATTTAGTGAACTTTGACTTTCTTACTAAAAGGACACAAGTAAATAAGGAAAAAAAATAGTGTTGAACATTTAGGTTCTTGGATTTTTGGTGAAGTTACAAATACAAACATTCACATCACCATCTACTAACCTTCTTTTCTATTTTTTGAATATCAAATTGAAAATACTATTCATGACCTTCTTTTTCCTCCTTTTTCAAGAATGAAGTCCTTAGTTTTCATTTACCTTTAACTTTTTTTAACTAACATAGAGACAATAAATTTAGCACACACTTAGTTGATGATTAAGAATCTGGTGTAAAGTTTTAATGACTAATATACGATTTAGCCATGTTTTACTACTGTAATAGAGAATTGGGCTATATACATTAACTGTAATTTTCCTTGTTAAAGTTCTTCATTATATTTTCTTCAGTCTTTTAAATCACATCCTAAGAAAAGTTTTGAATTTTTGACTATAATTATACTTTCTTTAATAAATAGGAATTCATATTTGACTTCATCATAATATCTAAAATCTATTTCAGATTCAGTTAACTTTGACTTTCTTACTAAAACAATGCAAGAAAATAAGGAAACAAATTTAGTGTTGAACAATTTGATCCTTGGTTTTTTGGTGAACATGAAAATAATATTCAGATCACCATCTACTAAATTAATTTTCTATTTTTTGAATATCAAATTGAAATACTATTTATGACGTTTTTATTTTTCCTCCTTTTTCAAGAATGAAGTTAGAATTGAGTTGTTGACTAAAAATCTGGTATAAAATTTTAATGACTGATATATGATTTAGCCATGTTGTTGCTAATGCTGAGCAGAGAGTTATATTACTCAATGCTTCTACAAAAGGTCTAAGACTGCAAGTCTGCAGAAAATAGCATGAACTCTGATTAACCTAAACTGGAGGGAACAATGTTTTATATCAGAGTGATCACGTTTTCACTCAGAGACTGTCCAAAATATAGAAGTTGGGACTCAAAACTATAAGTTACAACTTGTTTTTATCTGATCATTTCCCATATGTGGGGAATAACCTGACATACAAAATAATGTCTTTTGAGAAACCTTCTATGCTGCTTAATATTAAAGCTACTATCTCTTTACATTCACTAAGAAATGACAGAAGCAGAAAAGAATTGTAAGGAAGAGAAGGAACAAATGCATTCTCCATTACTTTAAAAATGTAATAGTGATCATGACATATGATCATGAATTACAGATGACTGAAGGGATGGCAAATGAGCGGGTTGGATCAAATTCAGGCAGATCAAAACGAGTCAGAGTAATTACTGGGTCAAGAGTCAACCCACCCAAAGTTTATTTGGGTCAAGATGGGCCAAACATCAGGTCATAACCCAAATTTCCCCTCTTTTTAAACATATCATAGTTATAACAAATGCGGGAACTCATTAATGTATTGCGTTAATGAAACTGGTAGTATGTACTAGACTGCACCCATGTTTATGATTCAGGGATTTATCTATGTCAGTGTGATTTTAATCTAACGAATTAGACTAATTGTGCCATCCAAGCTTTGCAAAAATAAAATAAAATTGTGCTTATTTAGTTATGTTGAGATTGCAGAAATGATGGAATTAATGGAATCATAATTACCCTAGTCACCAAGTTCCGCGTCTACATCATAGTCCACTAGGCTAAATTGCCCACTAGGGTTACTAATCATCCTATAGCCAATAAGCCTTGGCGGCTCCAACATACCACTATAGCAAGGAGCAATAGTCAAAACATTAAAGGGCATAAAGACAAATGATTAAAGTCAAACAACACAACTGTTATGCGAGAAGTAAGATAAGTTTATTTTACACTAAAAACCAGAACTCCCTAAGGTGCATTCAAATTGAGAGGACCTGTAGCATTAGTAACTCAGCTTCCATTGTGCCTCTTCAACAGACGACTTGATCTTTAACTGCAACAAGATCAAATAGAAAACTTAATACAAACAATTAACAAATTGAACCATATGAATGAGAAATCAGTGTCTTGTATCCTCAAACAGAATCATATGAAAAAACTACAGCAAATAAATAGAAAAATTAGCTGATTAGTCTCACAAGTACAGCAACATATAGAAACTACTCATCAATAGAAAACTGTGGACTAAGAACTTTTTTTTTAGAGACCACATATTCAACCACAGCAATCGTGTCATCTGAGAACTAAGATGCCAACATTTTTTTTTTGATAAAGTCTAAGAAGCCAAAATCGTATCAAACAAATCAAGACATGCCACAAATCTGTGAAATAACAAGAATACAAGCGGATTACTGAATAGGGATTTAAGAGAGGGGTGGAATAAATAGGGCAATGGATAGAGGTTGTTACAAGGATAAGTTCAGTATCAAAGAATGAAAGCACAAGGATAGTGGTAAAGTCACCATGAACTAGCTAGACTATAAACAATCTACATCAAATTTCCCCATGCATTTTCTCTATCAAGTAATAAATATTGTACATAAATTTACAGAGTAATGAGAAGAAGCACGGCACATGACGCACATCAGAAGATGAACACCAACCAGCCTAGTGGGAAAACCTTAAACCACATGAGCTTCTAGTCATCTACCATGAAGAGAAAGTGGGTGACGCGCTAACTGCTCATGCAAAGTCCCAAATATTTGGTACCATAGCCGCCCTAGTTTCTCTTTCTTGTCATTCACGCTAACGACAGAAAAGGAGAAAAAAAATGGTTATAACTAACCAAATCCAACTATCCCAGTTCTTCGGATATACTCTGGATTTACTTTCCTCTAAGACATACTCTTGAGCCAATGGGGTTAGAAATGAATTTAATCCCACTTTACCTACCGGCCACGTGTTCAATATGCATTAGCATGACCAATAATTACTGGTGTACTTTGCAACACCGATAAAGACATCAGATATCAGTTGTTTCTCAGGATGGTTTTTCAGTACTTACTGAAATACAAATGTTATCAAAAGAAAAATCAGTTGTTTCTCAGGATAATAGGTAGCACCGTAACAGTTGTGGATGGCATATCCCAAGCATGCATATATAACCATTGTATTGGTACGAAAATTGAAACATACGCTTTGGCTCCATCTTGGCATCAACAGCAATAATGTTTGCCACTGTGAGGAAACTTGTGGTTTCCAATTAAAAGAATCAATCATGAACTTCTTTATAGTATACAGTATCAAACAATCGTGTGAAAGCATATCTATCTATTGCTATAAATTTGGATACGAAAAAATCCACATATGCCAAATCATTTTCTCCACTAATGCAAAATACAGAAGAAGTCATTGATGAAAGTCTAGACAGTGCAACATCAATGAGAGATTGCAGAAAAAGAATTGTTTTTACAAGTAGAGAGAGAATGCAAAAAATTATACAAGTACTGCACTTGAAATTAGTTAAGAATTAAGATTTCCCTAAATGCAAGAAGGCAAACATATAAAAACCGAAAATGTTTGTAGCTACTATCTGATAGAGTGAAATAAAAACAAACAACAAAAAAAGTTGCAGTCAGTTTTAACAGCAAACCCCTTGAGCGGAAACTTAGTGAATACTTTTTCCATGGAGACAAACCCCTCCGACGGAAAACGTTCCCTTTGTCAGTTCTCAGAAAAAGAAGAAAGTTACCACCTTGAACGAAAATGGAATAAAGCAATGGACTTAACCAATTAATTAATTTTTTTTGTAACCTAGGTGTGAATTAAGGAAATGACAAAGTTACCTTTAAGGACCAAAGTTACCCTGTCCACCGTTCCCTCCACCAGCATTGGAATTATCACCAGCAGGCTGCCACGCCTGCAATGGAGGCTGAACGTACACTGAAGGAGCAACCACAGGCATAGCAGGCCCTCCTATCATCACATCAGGCATAGCAGGCCCTCCTAGTATCGGCCCAGGCATAGCAAGCCCTCCTGGCATCACCCCAGGCATAGCAGGCCCTCCTAGCATCACCCCAGGCATAGCAAGCTGTCCCATTGGAGGATAAAAGTAAGGAAAACCACCACCTGCTGTGGGGCCCACCATGCCAGGCCCAAAACCAGTAGCCACTTCATTGATCTCATCCGCAGGGACGACGTCAGCAAGGAAATCAAAAATCTCAGTCCGCCTAATTGCGGCAGCGAAGTCAGTTTTCTTAAGAGTCCCACGGTTGTTTTCTTGGGCGTGAAACCAGGAACGAAGAGTGAGCTCCAGAATAAAGAGCTCACATGCCTTTGAAAACAAAATCGGTGTTTCAGCAGACACCTTGAGGACATTGTTTTCAGATTTTATAATCCTCTTGATCCTGGAAATGGGAAACTGGTGATGCTTAAAATCATCCAGCTCCTCAATTTCTTCACGCTGGCAGTTCCAGAAAATCCTCATTTGCTCTTCCACCTGCTGCTGTTGCTGCAGCTGCAGCTGTTCATGCTGCTGCAGCATCAGCATTTGGTGTAAGGGGTAACCAGGGTACAGAGGCTCCGCCGATTGCTGATGATTGTTCTCCATGGGTTGTTGATGATTGTTCTCCATGGGTTTTTGGTAGAGGAGCGGATTTTTCTATGCAAAACTGTTAACACAGACTGAGAAATGGAAGAATGAAGAAGAAAACTACGTACTCATTAAGCTTTATTGCAGATTGTGACAAATTTGGATTGTAGCTTTACTCGGATTTTAGGCTTCATGTATGAACTGTATTTTGGTTTTTAGTGTGAGTTCACACCAGTTCTCCTTCCCCAGTTTAACTCTTTCCCATTTTTGCCATTTTCGGAAAAGGAAAAATCACTGGTGTGTTCACACACGTTTCTGCGTCTCTTTATTTTCCTACTCCCTCTGTCTCATTTTATGTGGCAACATTTCCTTTTTGGTCAGTCCTAAAAAGAATATCACATTTCCTTATATGGAAAGTATTTAAAGGTACAATTCCTTTTTTATCCTTGTTGATCCCACTTAATCTTAAAATAATAATCCAATACATTTATGAGGAGAGAGAAATTGAGTCTACTTTTTAAAAGGGCAATTTGGTAAACATTTCAAAGTCTTCATTTATTTCTTAAATTCCGTGCCCGGTCAAATGTTGCCACATAAAATGGGACGGAGGGAGTATTTTTCTCATTCTAAACAGCAAATATTATTACTCCCTATGCCCCAATTTATGTGACATATTTCGCTTTTTAAGAGTTAAACAGTTTAAGTTTGATCGAGAATTTGCTCATGAAATATTCAATTTTTTTTAAATGAAATTTATATATTTGTAAACTACATAAAAAGTACTATAAGTCTCAATAATTGATAATTCAAAATATTTAAAAAATATAGGAAAAATTTACGGTCAAAGATAAACTTCTTTGAATCTCGAAATTCGAACTGTGTCACATAAATTGGGACAGATGGAATAGTATATTCTTTTTTTAGTAGAAAGGATATTATATTTTTATTTATATTTATAATTAAACATTTAACATTACATTATCACAATTAATACACATAGATTGTCAAGACGGGCTAATTTATTACATATAAATTGTAATATTAGATAGTACTTCTTTTTTATTTGCCTTGAGGAACTCGTTAATAGTGTTAGGAGGATTTTTTATTAAATATTTTTTTCATAATCATTATTTTATTGATTGATTATTTGTTAAAGTTTTAATTCTTCATTTATGGATTCTTCGATATTCTTTCTCTAATCATATAATAGTATATCAGTAGGGTGTTCATGGTTCGGTTTGGATCAGTTATTAGTTAAAATTAAAATCAAACCAATTTAAATCGATTTTTAAATTTCTAAAATCAAACCAAACCAAATCAAAAAAATAACCATCGATTTGGTTATCGTCAATTTAGTTAGGCTTTTTCGGTTCAAAATAATAAGTTTGTTAAGGACATACGCATCTCGATAGACACAAACACTTAGTACATGAATAATTTACAAATAAGCTATTACATGAACAAAGTAATTCATCCAATGTACCAAGTTTCAGAAACGAAAAAAACTCATTATCGATATCATAAAGTTGGTTCAATATTATGGAGATCTCAATATCTTATCAATAGACTTTTCAATAAAATTACACCTTAAAATATTGAGAAATTACTTTTCAAAAAAATAATAATCAATATTTCATAGTTAAAACTAATCAATTATCATCTTGTTTAGCTTGAGCTTTAAATTATTCAATGCAACATTAGAAAATTTTATAAAGAACAGAGAAAGTGTGATCTTTAAAGTAATGAATATTGAGGGATTTAGACTTAAGGTTTTAATAGTTGGGCTAAGTGTTGGGCTTCAGAAAATAGTAAAATTAAAGACTTTTAAGATAATTAAAATCTATCTAAATACTTATATTTTATTTATAAATAATTATAAAATTTATATATATAACTTCTCGGTTCGGTTTGGTTATTTTTGCGGTTAATTTTTAGTAAAACCAAAATCAAACCAAATATTATCGATTTTTCAAAATTTAAAACTGAACCTAACCAAATATCGATTTTTTTAATAGGTTTGGTTTAGATTACGGTTCAGTTTGGTTTTATAACCATAACCATGAACGGCCCTAAGTATATGTATATGCTTTCGGACGAGAAAATGTCCATAATAGTCCTTCATCTTTGGGTTAAGACTCAAAGTCATCCTTGATTTTCACATGGAGCACTAACAGTTCCTCATGTTTGCAATATTGGTGCACTTTTCGTCTTCCCCTAAATTTTTGCCTATTTTTTAACATTAATTTTGTCCACAATTTTATGTAAGGAATGTCCAATCGTCTTTTTATATATTTAGTAGAAATAATAACTCTATGTGAGAAGAAGAACACGTTGTTCTGTTCAGTGGAAATATTACTACAACTAAGCTAATAACATCTTAACATATGACGTTGCAAGAAAAGAAAAATGTGTATTATTGCACGTGAAATCATCATGATGAACCTTTCGACTTTACCTGCAATACGATTTCTACTAAACAAAACAAGGGGAAGAACTTTTGGAGGAGGACCAAAAGTGCACCAATATTGCAAACATGAGGGACTATTAGTGCTTCATGTGAAAACTCAAGGATGACTTTGAGTCTTAACCCAAAGATGAGAGACTATTTTGGGCTTTTTCTCCTTTTGGGCAGTACTAGTCTATAGACGTCACCTGTCTATTCTTAGTCAATAGTGTTTCATTCACAACTAAGTTGAGAATGACTATCTACTTAAGCTAGCGTTTGGCCATAGATTTTCAAATATTATTTGAGTGAAATTTCACCATGTGTTTGGTCATAATATTTGGAAAACATATTTCACTTTTTTAGAAATATATGATTTATACCCATAAGTTTTAAAAACTATCAAAACTAACCATAAGTTTGTATTACAAATCAATTGGATCTTTATTGCAACAAATAGCAAGTAGTGTCCATGACACTGGAGCAATGTGGTAGTTTGGAGTGAGTGCAACAAGTATCATTCCATACATCGTGAAGTAGACAAAGCACATGACTTTGTTACCCTGAGTCGATTGTTCATCATTTTCATCAACAACCATATCATCACTTTCATATTCACTGAATATTTCATCACTACTTTGGTGTTCACGTAAAAAAATTATGTAATACAACGCAAACAACTACTATAGAGAGTGTTTTTGTAAAAGATAAAAGTTTGGTGTAAAATTTCAATTTTTAAAAGATCCCAAATAATGAGATTTGGCCCAAATACTAGAAAAAACTAGTATTTGGGAATTTGAGATATTTGCCAAAAAAATTTGCCAAATAATGACAAATTTTATAGACAAACACTATTTGTCAAATTTCCCCCCAAATATTACTTGAGAAATCTATGGCCAAACGGGTGTGTTCCTTGTTTTTATACACTAATTTCATTAAGGTGACTCTTGCTAAGTCCTTCTAAGCTTTAAGTAAATTTGTTTAAAAGAGAATTGAGTCTAATCTAGCACATTAATCTTTAGATACTCAACGTATTCAAAATACGTATTAGCTTATAAGACTTTTTGGACTATCCAAGAACCTTAGGTAGGTTGTACGCTTTTATAATAAATGTGCACCTATTATATACATATTTTATTCTTCGTATTGCATAATTTTCATAAGGGCTTACATATGGCTGACAACTTCCACATATTTATAACAAGTAATATTAAGCCATTCACCTGACCTAAGATATATAATACTACAATATGTCTCATAGAATTAATTGTTTTTTTTTTTTTTTTATATTATTGCACTGTTTGTTCTCAAAAACTTCTATAAGTGACCTTAATCAATTTCTTTGGCATGACAAACACCTAAAATCAGAGTACTTGAATAGAAATAAAAACTGACTTTATTGATTGTATTATTTTAGCATAAGAGAAAAAAATTAATGGTCCATGACTATATCCTCCCTAGCATCTTATCTATCAAAGATTTACATTAAACGAATGAAATTATCTTTGTGCTCAAAGAGACTCCCAAATACTTGAATGGTAAACTTATCTTATGAAAAGTGAGTTCATTTTGGATGGTAATGGAAGTATCATGAGGTCCTCTTTGGAATTGTGGTAAGATACTCAATAGCAAAGATATGTCCCTCATCAAAAATTCAAACATGAAGGTGTCAAACCAAGAAATTTCACTAAGTAGTGATGATGAAAATTTAGCTAACTTTAGGTGTGTTTGGTAGAAATTTCAATTTTCTTATGTTTGGTTGGGGTAAATGTTTTGGAAAATAATTCCAAATCAACTCATTTTCCTAAAATTTAAGGAAAATGACTTTTCTTCAAAACTTAAGAAAAACATTTTCCAAAATTCTCTTCCAACTTCAAATTATAATTTATTTATTTTTTAGAAAAATCAATTTATTTTGTCCCTACTCTCAAACCAGCCCCCCAACCACCCCCCTCCCTGCAAAAAAAGTTTTGAAGCTTGTTTTTAACTTCAATTTTCTTACCCCACCCTCAACCCTACTTCCAACCCCCTACCACCCCTCCCCCCTCCAAAAAAGAAATTAAGTTTGTTTTTAAAAAAATATTTTCAACTTCAAATTTTTATTTTTCCACCCCTACCCTCGACCCCCTCCCCCGCGCCAGCCCCCCACCCCAAAAAAAAATAATTACGTTTGTTCTTAAAAAATATTTTCAATTTCAAAAATTATTTTCTACTCTAGTAAAAATAAAAGATATTTCTCAAAAACATTTTTCATTCATAAATCAAACATTAAAAGACTTTTCCGGAAAATATTTTCTACTCACCAACCAAACATGAGAAAATAAATAAAAAATCTACTTGTTTTCCAAGAAAACATTTTCCGTACCAAACACACCCTTAATGATGACCTCAAGTATTAATACATCAACTTAATTATTTTAGAAAACACAAATAATTCAGACTTGATTGAGATATCAAATATCCTCATAAATAGTATTTATATCATACATTCCGTGAAAAACCTATTCATTTATCAAGTATTTGAATCATTGTTATCTAATCTTACGAATTAAAATGGATTAGATTACTATAGGCACTAAGCATATTAACTTTCATGTTATAACATACAAATGAAACATTTGCTCTAACATCTCAGATTCCATTACACAAACATGACAAACTTCATCTGTAGAATAACTTTTTTTTGTAATAACATAATTAACATGCAATATATTTAAAACACACCTCCTGAAAATAAACTTGTTTTTGATCTTTGAAGACCATATATAGGTTTCAAAAGGATTCGACAAATACACGAGAATTAGTTTCTAGATGATAGCTAGACTTTACTTCATAGTTTTCGAATTAATCAAATATTAAATCAGTCTATCATTAAAAAAAAAAACTAAAATAGAAAAAACAAATTCATCATCTTGATTAAGAAAAAGTATTCACCGAATATCCCAAGAGTTAGTGCCATCATATCCTAAGTGTTCAAAAACAATTAATGAGGAACTGATATAGCTCCTTTTTCATTACTCTGGCCACTGTAAACAGCTCCAAGTAGTTCTTTTGGCATCTTACTTATGGACTTTCAGATTTTGCGTACACCAAAAGTATATGGTTCCGCTGATCTACAAGTTGAAAAAGATAATCATCTCCTGGATTCAGGCCATAAGCAGTAGTAACTTGTTTCCATCCAGATGTCAAAACATTAAAATCTGATCAGCACAGATATAAAGGAGGTCTAGATTCAACGAGAGAAATAAGGAATACACAAAATGGGAAACAAAGAGAATCTCAGCCAAGTACAAGTACTTAACATAGAGCGGACTAAATTCTCCAACTAAGCAATATGCCTGAAATCACTCTAGAAAAGAACGACCAGGGTGGTCAGGTGATTGAAAAATGGAACTTAGTACCAGCAATGTAATGTAAGTGCTGCTTCACATGGTGTCCAGATGATGAAAGGATTAGAACTCTCAAAAAAACAATGCAAATGCAGGTCTCGCTTCACGAAAAAATTAGTGCTCCTTTTCCCATATGACATCGTCCTCTTAGATTATAAACCAAAGAATCAATATATCTTATTTACAAAGAGAAACCTAACAGAATGTTTGCATACATAAAAGTTGATGGAAATCAGCCAGTTGCTTTGATGAAAGAAGTATAACAAAGAGATCTTACTAACCAATGGATTCATCTATTTCGAACAAATCATACCTCATAATTATTCAAGGACATCTGCAATAAGAAAACATACTCATTAACTTTAGATTTGAAGAAACAGTGCCATCATTGGAATCTCCTGCTTCACGGGCACTAAACTTGTAACATAGTTATATTTGATCCAAGTATGAAAAATAAGTTATTGCAGGTCAAGTGTGAATCCAAGATGCTTATTTTAACAAATTAGAGCCGCCATTTTTTTTAAAATCTTAATCAGGTGTACATGAGTTTTTCTTTTCAACATCTGAGTTACAAAGTAATCAGCACTTCACTTCAATCTTAATGAATTTTCAAAAGCATGTTAAAGTGTTAAGTCTAAAGGTATCCTGGAAAAGACATTATTCCGTTTATAACATCTTATTAAATGCAAAAGTTGGATGAAAAGAATTTTTTTTAAAAAAAAGGATGAAAAGAATATTAAAAAATGCATGCATCTTCAGGTGTAAACTCAAGACACATATAAACTCGAACACTTTACAAGCCAGTATTGATTAATATTCATAGAGAACTGATAGCATTCATGGTGGCAAACCGGCACACCTCTATTAGGACTTTATGAAGTTTGGGAAGTTAAAGAGATGGTGAGATGCAAGACAATGTTTCTGACCTTCAATGGAAAATCAAAAAGATGCTCATCGTGGAAGAGGATCCCAAGAATTGTGACTACGAGTGTGCTAAGCACACATATTTCATGGTGCAAGTCCAAGCTCGAGAAGAAGAGACCAAATGGGCAAGTGTTTATTATTGATAGATTGAGGCGCATATGGAGCCCAAAAGGAACTGAAAAGCAAGCCCAAGTGGGATGAATTACACTCCCAAAAGGTCTGGAAATTATGCCCAAAAGAGCTGAAATTTGGCGGTTTTTGGTCCAAGAATTGCCACTTCCTTATTTTGTTGGGTAGTTTTGAAAAGTGTGACATTAATTTTAAATGTTTTCCTAGTTTAACTTTTCCTTAGCTTAACATTTTCTAGTTATGTTTTACTAATTATTTCCATAAAATTAGAATTCGGATCTCATGATGTCTAGGAGAGGGGTGCACAATATATAGAGTTCTTCTTCTAGTTTTTCGGACACAACATTGTTATCAATCTTATTGAGAGATTCTTCTCTTCACAGTTACACTACCGGGGATTTTTTTAATCAAGTACACTACTTGGTATTTATCATATAACCTTACAAAAACGATTCTTTTAAGAGGTAAGATAATATTCTTTACTTGATTTTTATGGTTCTTAGAATCATAACAAATAATTGTCTTTAATTGTTCAATTAGGGGGTTTAGATCATTTTCATCTAAGATCTCGAATTGAATCTGCTAGTAAATATGATAAACCGTAATATACTAATTAGGTTTACTGCAATCAATTAGGATTTTTAGTAATTACTTGGGAGATTTGGGGATTTATTTCTCGAATTTCGATTCTAGTCTTTGATCTTTGTATTTTTCGCTTCCGCATTATTTTCTTGTTTTTCATTCAAATAACTTGATTCTTATCCAAGACCACATCAAATAGTAAGAATATTGCAATAATGCAATCCACCAAAATGACAGAGGGAATCATAATTAAACAAGGTGTTACCAGAAATCTTAGCCATCAGTCTCCATCAAACATGAATAGATGACTGCATTAAGGGATGGTGTATCTCCTGAATTAGCAGGTTCACTTTTGATGACTTTTTCACTACCATTCACATACTCTCCTCCTGAATCTTGTACATAACAATCAGCAAAAAGATGCTCAAAGGCAGTTCAAAGCACAACACCAAAATGCAAATGGCCATGGACAGTATGAAAAAGGAAACCAGATTAAATAAGTTGTGAAGATATATAAGAATGAAATCAATAGCATACCATGTATTGCTGTAGCAGGAGCAAATGCTTCTGTTGTTATCTCCTCAAATTCTTTCTTGACTAGTCTTTCTTCCCTAGCTTCATGTGGCAAAAACATTTACCATGTAAAATCCAATAAAGTCACAAGATAAGGATGTCTACTAGCCGAACAAGTGAAACTCAAGCTTGAGAATTTCAACAGGCCTAAATTAAAACCAGCAATTTCATGTCAAAAACTCTTTAATTCCTACTTCAATGATTAAGCAACCCAGCAAGGAAAGGAGAGCACGATTATTTACGCGGAGTATCAAACATCTGTCTCCCAAATGGATCGCCGAAATTGTGATTCCCTTTTTATACCCAGTGCTTCTAAATTTAAGTTGCCGATCTCAACATAGAAATGTGGTTCTGTTTGAGATCACAAACTGGCTTCAACATGATTATCATTTCCATCGACACCTTTTAAAGGAATGCTAGTTCTTTCTGCTACAGGTTTGCTCGTTGCCATTTCTTTTTTGAGAAGGGAAAAAAATGGCAGCAAGCAAACCTGTTGCAGAAGGAACTAGCAGTCCTTTAAAAGGTGTTAATGGAACTGATAAAAATGTTGAAGCCAATTTGTGATCTCAAACAGAACCACATTTACATGTTGAGATCGACAACTTAAATTCAGAAGCACTGTTGTCAAAACTTAAAGCACAATATGCCGTCTTCTTAATCATATTGAGCATATCTATCAATCATACAAAATGTTTCATCCTCATCTATAGCTGAATGTACTGATTGTCCCTTCCCAGTGTCACTGTCAGTATGTGACCTTTTCAGACTATGTTTTACTCTTTTCCTAAACAGAAAAGAAGCTGCCCCCCCCTCCCATTTCCAAGCATCCTGGCAACCCAACCCATCATAATTTTTTGTTAGTGAAGCAAACCAATCAAGCTTTGAAATTCTCCAACTTCCCAATCTTGTAAGTTTTTACAAAACCTCATATCCCACAACACTTCTCCCCCTTGTTAACTCCATAATTGGATAATCGACATCCTTTTTTGGCAAGAAATTCTATACATGTTAGGGAAAGTGAGACTCAAAGTATTGTTCCCACGCCATCTCTGATCCCAAAAACTCACCACACTCCCCTAACCCACTCGAAAAGATGTATTCTCATTGAACTCTTCCCATCCCTTTAAAATAATCCTACGTAGCCCACAACCGATAGGGAGTGAAGCATTCCAACCCACCTCAAAGGCCTCATACATCTCTACAATCACCCTTCTCCAAAAAGCATTAACATCTACGCCAAATCTCCATAACCACTTTCACAAAAGTGTCATGTTAAAGAGCCTTATGTCACGAACTTATACTTCAACTATAAGGCTTTGTGCGGCACTCGACAACTTACTCATGACTCTTTCACGATCTTGTAAGCTCAAGTAAGCCTTTTCAAACTTAGATTGCTAAGAGAACGAAGAAAGACCCAAGAGAGTTAAAAAAAAAAGGCTTTGTATTGCTTTGGAAGATTGCTTACAACTTGCTTGGTTTACAAATGAGAGCCCCTCTATTTATGCTACAATCCAAGGGGCTAAAGTGTAAACAAAAATTGTTACACAAGTCCTTGCATATTTACAAGTTAGTCCCTCTTCGAGAATTCTCTACAAGTCTTAAGAATTCCAAAGCCTTCCAAGAAATCTTCTCGGGTGATCTAGAGTCTTCTCCAAACCTCTCCACGACTCTAGATTCTTCCCCCCTTATTTTAATGCCTAACTTGTATGACAAAGTGGCGGGTCATGACACTTATATCCTTATAACAAGATAACCCCAACATTTCTATTTTTGAGGGGGGGAGAAGGGGAAAGCCTCAAACCAAATGAGTTAGGGTTGGCTATATGAATTCTCTGTATAATAGCTTTGTCAAAAAAAATTCTCTATACTAATTATTTTGTCTGAAACTAGAGTAAAATTAACCAGCTCAAAGAGACATCCTAAATCTTCATTATTAAATCATTTTAAATTGATAATTGATATATACCAATTTATGATTCTAAAAATCTACTTCCTTGCAGAATTTCTTATCAGACACTTCAAAAAAGGCACTTTTTTAATTTGTAAAAACATTATCCACAAAATCCAGAACATAATCTCACAATCAAAGCATTAAAAACCAAAAGTATTCGAGATGAATTAAGCAAGATAACTAAATTCCTAGAACTCCATAGTCATCTAGCAACACAGATTTAAAAGAAAAAAAAAGGTTATATATAAATGATCACATACATCCACACGTATGCATATATATAACATGTAAATATATACCAAAGCATAAATCATCATACTCACAAGAACAACGGCAGATAACAGTTACAGCAATCCAAAAGAAGCCATGAATGAAACAACGTGGAAGCATTTGATTAAAAGTAGTTTTACCTGCAAAAGGAAGGAAAGGTGAACCGCATAGAGTGAGTCGTCATTGAATTTCCACCAAAAAAAAACAATTCTTTCTTTTGCTTCTAGCTATACATAGTGTTGATCGAACCCTAAAGAAATGTGCAATTTTGGTTGGTAAAACAAATTTTCAGAAAAAAGAGAAGTTTTTCCGCATGTAAAGTATTTTTTTCAGGTTTGGCTTGGCCCTTTATATAGACCTTTTACAGTTGGGGGAGGGGGTTAGTAGAGTTCAAACCCTTACCATAGTTAATTTTTAAAATACTTAAATTTGGAGAGTATAATTTTAAATATTATTTTGGGCTATATGCAGTAATTGTAATTTTCCTTGCTAAATTTTCTTTTGTCTTGTCAACATCCTGAGAATAGTTTTGAATTTCTAACTATAATTGTACATCCTTGAATAGATAGGAATTCATATTTGACTTCATCTTAATATCTAAAATCTATTTTAGATTTAGATAACTTTTGACTTTCTGACCAAAAGAACGCAACTAAATAAGCAAAAAATATTTAGTGTTAAAAGATTTTGATTCACGATTTTTTCATAAAGGTGCAAATACTACTATTCAGATCACCATCTACTAACTTTCATTTCTATTTTTGGAATATTAAATTGAAACTACTATTTATGAAGTTCTCTTTTTCCTCCTTTTTCAAGAATAAAAGTCCTTAGTTTTCATTTACCTTAAATTTTTTAACTAACATACTAGACAATGAAGTTAGCACTGAGTTGACGATTAAGAATCTGGCGTAAGGCTTCAATGACATATATGATTTAGCCATGTTTTGCTACAGCTGAACAGAGAGTTAAGTTATATACGTTAACTATAATTTTCCTTGCTAAACTTTCCTCCTTATATTTTCTTCGGTCTTTATATCACACCCTGAGAAAAGTTTTGAGTTTCTGACTATAAATATACTTTCCTTGTATGGATAGGAATCCATATTCATCTAAAATCTATGTCAGATTTAGTTAACTTTGACTTTCTTACTAAAAGAACGCAAGTAAATAAGGAAAAAAAGTTAGTGTTGGAAGATTTTGAGTTTTGGTTTTTTGGTGAAGGTGCAAATACTAATATTCAGATCCCGATCTACTAACATCCTTTTCTATTTTTTAAATATCAAATTTACATACTATTAACGACATTTAGTTTTCCTCCTTTTTCAACAATGAAGTCTGTAGTTTATATTTACCTTAACTTTTTCATCAAATGACAATGAAGTTGGCACTGAATTGATGATGAAGAATCTGGTGTAAAGTTTTAATGACTAGTATAATTTAGCCATGTTGTTGCTACTATTGAATAGAGATTTGTATTACTCAATGCTTCTACACAGCTATTAAAGGTCTACTGTAATTCTACAGAAAACAATATGAACTTTGATTTGTGTCTTCTGATTAACCTAAGCTAGAAGGAATAACGTTTTGTATCAAAGCAAAAATCACGTGTTCACTCATATATTGTCCAAAGAATAAAAGTTGGACTCAGAACTATTAGTTACAACTTTTTGTCTTTATCTGATCCATTCCCATCTGCGCAATCATCTCACTAACAAAATATTGTCTTTTGCAAAACCTCCTACACTGCTTAATGTTGAAGCTACTATTTCTTTACATTCACTAAGAAATGACAGAAGCAGATAAGACTGGTAAGGAAGAGAAGGAACAAATGCATTCTACATTCATTACAAATGTAATAATGTACCACAAACAGTGATCATGACATATGATCATAAATTACAAATGATAATAGGGCTGGCAAAATAGGCAGATCGGGTCAAATTCAGGAGGGTCAAAATGGGTCAAGGAAATTATGGGTTAAGAGTCAACCCGCCAAAAGTTTATTTGGGTCAAGATGGGTCATAACCCAAATTTCCCTTCTTTTTAAACATATCATAGTGCACCCATGATTATGATTCAGTGATTTATCTATGTTAACGTGATTTTAACCTAATAAATTAGAGTAGTTATGCCATGCAATAAGATTTGTGCTAATTTAGTTATGTTGAGATTGCATAAAATGATGAAATTAATGGAATCGTCATCACCCTAGTAACCAAGTTCCACACCTACATCATTCACCACTATGAGGGTGTTTGGATTGGCTTATTTTAAGGGGGTGTTTGGATTGACTCTTTTTAAGTAGCTTAAAAGCTAAAAGCTATAAGTTGGGAATACCCTACTTTTGGCTTTTAGCTTATTTTTATACTTTTTCAACCTAAAAGAAAGTGCTTAAAAACACTTCTTGTCTTTCCCAAACACCTCCAAAAATAAACAAGAGCTTAAAAGCCAAAAGCTACTTAAAAAAGCCACGGTCCAAACACCCAAGTAGCTTTTGGATTTTAAGCTCTTTTTTATTTTTGGAGGTGTTTGAGAAAGACAAAAGTGCTTTTAAGCACTTCTCTTTTAGGCTGAAAAAATACAAAAATAAGCTAAAAATCAAACGTTGGATATTCCCAAGTTATGAATCTTAGCTTTAGCTTATAAGCTACTTAAAATAGCCAATCAAAACACCCTTATGTCATGTAGAAAGTTAGAATTAAAGAATTGCCACTAAAGGAAAGAGACAGTCTTTTTTAACTAACTAAAAATGAAATTTAGACAAACAAATTAAAACGGATGGAGTATTTATGTAGTTTTTCTTTTTGCTCCTTTTTCAAGAACGAAGTCCTTAGTTTTCATTTACCTTAATATTTTCAACCAACATAGTGACAAAGAAGATAGCACTTAGTTGATGATTAAGAATCTAGTGTAAAATTTTAATGACTTGATGTATGATTTAGCCATGTTTTGCTACTGCTGAACAAAAAGTTGGGCAATATACATTAAATGTAATTTCCCTTGCTAAATTTTCTTCCTTATATTTTCTTCGATCTTTTAAATTACATCATGAGAAAAGTTGTGAATTTCTGACTATAAATACTTCCTTCAATAGATTGAACTTCATAATGGACTTCATCATAATATCTAAAATCTATTTCAGATTTAGTCAACTTTGACTTTCTTACTAAAAAAACACAAGTAAATAAGGAAAAAAAATTAGTGTTGAAGATTTTGATTCTTGGTTTTTGGCTGAAGGTGCAAATACTAATATTCAGATCACCATCTACTAACTTCATTTTCTATTTTTGGAATATCAAATGGAAAATATTATTTATGAGGTTCTTCGTTTTCCTCCTTTTTCAAGAATGAACTCCTTAGGTTTCATTTACCACCATCTACTAACTTCATTTTCTATTTTTGGAATATCAAATGGAAAATACTATTTATGAGGTTTTTCGTTTTCCTCCTTTTTCAAGAATGAACTCCTAAGGTTTCATTTACCTCTACCTTTTCGACTAACATAGTGACAATGAAGTTAGCTCTGAGATGTTGATTAAGAATCAATTGTAAAGTTTTAATGACAAATATATGATTTAGCCATGTTTTGCTACTGATGAACAGAGAATTGGGTTATATACGACTTCCATTTTCCTTGCTAAATTTTCTTCCTTATATTTTCTTTGGTTTTTTAGATCACATCCTGAGATTTTTTTGAATTTTAGACTGTAATTATACTTCCATGAATAGATAGGAATTCATATCTGACTTCATCGTAATATCTAAAATCTATTTCAGATTTAGTTAACTTTGACTTTCTTACAAAAAGAACGCAAGTAACTAAGGAAAGAAATTTAGTGCTGAAGAATTTGATTCTTGTTTTTTTGGTGAATGTGCAAATACTAATATTCAAATCACCATCTACTAACTTCCTTTCCTATTTTTTGAAAATACTATTTCTAATGTTTTTCTTTTTCCTCCTTTTTCAAGTATGAAGTCCTTAGTTTACATATTTACCTCAACCTTTTCAACCAACATAGTGACAAAGAAGTTAGAACTGAGTTGATAACTAAAAAACTGGTGAAAATTTTTAATGAATGATAAAAATGATTTAGCCATGTTGTTGCTGCTGTGTTGAATAGAGAATTGTATTACTCAATGCTTCTGCACAAGGTCTAAGACTACAATTCTGCTGAAAATAACATGAACTCTGACTTGTGTCATCTGATTAACCTAAACTACGGAACATTGTTTTGTATCAGAGTGAAAATCACTTTTTCACTCAGATACTGTCCAAAAAATAGAAGTTGAACTCAAAGTTCTCAAGTTTCAACTTGTTTTTATCTGCTCCTTTCCCATATGTGTGATCACATGACTAGCAAAATATAGTCTTTTGCCAAACCTCCTACATTGCTTAATGTTAAAGCTACTATCTCTTTACATTCACTAAGAAATGACAGAATTAGATAAGACTTGTAAGGAAGAGAGGAACAAATGCATTCTCCAGTTCTTAAAAAATGTAATAAGTGTTTTTCATCAAAAAAAAAATGTAACAATGTACCACAAATAGAGATCATGACACGTGATTAAGAATTACAGATGACTGTAGGGGTGGCAAATGCAGGTTGGGTCAAATTCAGATGGATTAAATGGGTCAAAGTAATTATTAGGTCAACAGCCAACCCACCCAAAGTTTATTTGGATCAAGATGGGTCAAACAACGGGTCATAATCCAAATCTCTCCTCTTTTTAAGCATACCAACAGGACAACTCATTAAAGTTTTAAGTTTGAAGCTGGTGGTATGTATAAGAGTGCATTCATGTTTATGGTTCAGTGATTTATCTATGTCAATGAGATTTTAATCTAACAAATTAGACTAATTGTGCCATCCAAGCTTTGCAAAAAAAAATTGTGCTAATTTAGTTATGTTGAGATAGCATAAATGACGGAATCATAATCACCCAAGTCACTAAGTTCCGCACCTACATCATTGACCACTACGCCAAACTGCCCCACTAGGCTTACTAATCATCCTATAACCAATACGCCTTGGTGGCTCCATCATACCACTATAGCGAGGAGCAACAGTCAAAATACTAAAGGGCCAACGGAGAACTGATTAAAGTAACATAACACGATTTTTATGCAAAAAGTAAGATAAGTTCATTACACTAAACACCACAACTCCATAAGCATTCAAATAAACTAGACAGTTTTATACCGAAAACGACTAAAAGATTCAAGTCATACTGTTGAGCCAGTACCCATAGACAGTAGCAATAAGAAGCATCCATAGTTGACAGGACCTGCAGCATTAGTGACTAAGAGCTTCCGTTGTGCCAGTGCCACTGAGCATTTGGATCAACAGAGAACATGATCTTTAACTGCAACAAGATCAAATAGAAAAATTAGTACAAACAACTAATAAATCAAACCATATGAATGAGAAATTAGTGTCTTGTACCTCAAACAGAATCATATTAAGAAACTACAGCAAACAAATAATAAATAGATAAATTAGCTGCTTAGTCTCGCAAGTACAACAACATCAAGAAACTACAGCTCATCAATAGATAACTTGTGGAGTAAGAACTTTTTTTTAGATACTACATATTTGATCATAGCAATCATGTCACCTAAGAGCTAAGATGCCAACAATTTTTTTATCAAGTCTAAGATGCCAACATCATATCACGCAAATCAAGGCATGCCACAAATGAGTGAAATAACATGAATACAAGAGGATTAATGAATAGGGATTTATGAGAGGGCTGGAATAAATAGGGCAAAGGATAGAGGTAATTACAATGATAGTTCAACATCAAAGAAAGAAAGCACAAGGATTGCGACAAAGTCACCATAAACTAGCTAGACTATAAACAATCTATATCAGATTTCCCCATGCATTTTCTCTGTCAAATAATAAAATGCCGTACATGAATTTTCAGAGTAATGAGCACAAGCATGGCACATGACACATATCAGAAGATGAACACCAACCAGACAACTGGAAAAAACCCTACTGGCATGAATATTGGAAATATAAAGATGAGCTTCCTCTCCCGTGAAGAGAAAGCTGTTGACGCACTAACTGCTCATGCAAAGTGCCAAATATCTGGTACCATAGCTGTCCTGGTTTCTCTTTCTTGTCATTCACGCAAATGGCAGAAAAGGAGAAAAAACTGGTTATAACTAACCAAATCTAACTATCCCAGTTCTTCGAACTTGCTCTGGATTTACTTTCCTATAAGACATACTCTCAAGCCAATGGGGTTAGAAACGAATATAATCCCACTTCACCAACAAGCCACGTGTTCAATATGCATTAGCATGAACAATTATTACTAATGTACATTGCAGCACGATATCAATTGTTTCTCAGGGTAATAGGTAATGGTAATGGATGGCATATCCCAAGCATGCATGCATATATAATTATTGCATCTGTAAGAAAATTGAAACATATGCTTTGGCTCCATCTTTGCATCAACACCAATAAGGCAATAACAGTTACCACTCTGAGAAAACTTGTAAAATCCGATTAAGAGAACTCCTTTATAGTATAGAGAAATCAAGCAATCATGTGGAAAGCAAATCAATCTATTGCTCTAAATTCAGATACCACAAAATCAAGATATGCCAAATCATTTTTTCCACTGATGCAATATATAGAAGAGGTGATTGATGAAAGCTTAGACTGTACCTGTAACTCCTATCTCCATGTTGCAACATCAATGAGAGAGTGCAGAAAAAAATTGTTTTTATAAGTAGAGAGAGAATGCACAAAATTATACAAGTACTTTACTCAAATTTAGTTAAGATTTCCCTAAATGTAAGAAGGCAAACATATAAAATGCAAAAATGTTTGTAGCTACTATCTGATAGAGTAAAAGTAAAACAAAGAACAAAAAAATTGCAGTTACAAACCCCATGGGTGGAAACTTTTTTCCATGGAGACAAACCACTCATGGGGAAACGTTCCCTTTGTCGCTTCTCAGAAAGAAATAAAATTATAAAAAAAAAAAAAAAGTTGCCACCTTTAACATAAATGGAAAAAAGCAATTCGACTTGACAAATTAATTCATTTTCTTCTAACCCTAGTAGTGAATTAAGGAAATGACAAAGTTACCTTTGAGGATCACCGTTACCCTGTCCACTGCTCCCTCCAGTAGCATAGGGATTACCGCCAGCAGCATGCCAACCGGACTGCCGCGGGTACAACGGAGGCGGGACGTTCACTGAGGGTGCAACCCAAGGCATAGCACGCCTTCCCATGATTCCCCGGGGTGCAGCAGGTGGTCCCATTGATGGAGCAGGAGGTCCCATTGGGGGAGCAGGAGGTCCCATTGGTGAGTAACAGTATGGGATACGACTTGGTATGTTGCCCAGCATGCCAGGCACAAAACCAGTAACTTCTTCCTCGGTCTCATCCATAGAAATGGCGTCCACAAGGAAATCAAAGAGTTCAGTCTCCCTAAGCACCGTGATGAAGTCGGTCTTTTTCAGAGTCCGACGCTGGTATTCCTGGGCGTTAAGCCAGGAACGATGGGTGAGCTCCTGAATAAAGAGCTCACATGCCTTAGCAATCAGAATAGGCGCTTCAGCAGAAATCATATGGACATCCTTGTCCGATTTCATGATCTTCTTGACTCGGGAAATGGGAAGACTGTGGACCCTAAAATCTCTTATCTGTTTGATCTCTTGAAGCTGAGCTGCCCAAAACAGCTGCTGCTGGAGGACATGATCGTTCACAGTCGGCTGAGCAGTCGCCGCCGCCGCCTCTGCATTCGCTGCCGCCTCGTCAGAATGGTTTGCCATGGTTTTTTTTCTGAGCGATAATTTCAATGCTCTCAGACTGAGAGGAATGGAAATGGACTGTGCTCTCTTATATATACCCGGGAGAGGAAAAAAAACTATGGAAAAATGACGGTTTTAGTCCCTAAGTTACAAGTTTATTTCAAATTTGGTCCCTCTAATAACGGGCTAAACATATTTAACCTTTAATTAACTAAAATGAGTAATTTTGATCCAATCACTAACAGAAGCCCAAACAGTAACGGACATTTTAATCCTAAGAAGGGCAAATTGGGCATTACATGTCACAACATTGTAGTATAGTTTTACATTATAAAACATAGAGAATAGAATTAAATTTGGATTATAACTTTTTAAAGGTTTTAGACTTTTATTTATGGGTTGAATTTTCTAATATTGTGTGTTCATATATATATTTTTTTCGTCTTTATTTTCTGTATTTTCTCGTTTTTAAAAGAAAAAATCATTTGTGTGTTCACACACATTAATGGGATGTAATTTATTTTAGTTTGCTATGTTTTAAGATAAGAGTTTTGTAGATAATTGAGAAAGAGTTTTACGTTATAAAACATGACAGATGGAGATAAATTTGAATTGTAACGTTTTTAGATTTTAGACTTTATTTATGGGATAAAATTTTCAACGTTTTGTGTGTTCACATATGTTTTTCTTTTTCTATCTCCCTTTTTTTCATTCTCCTCATTTTCAAAAGAAAAAATTCATAAATGAAGAGCCAAAACACTGATAAAGAATCGATCAATCAAATATTTGAGCAAAAATAATGATAATGCTAAAAATATTTGATAAAGTATCACCTATCAAGAAAATTTTAAAAAGTAAATTTGTAATAATCTTGAATTGACAAAAAGAGAATAATATATTTTTTTCATCAAGAATTAAAAGAATATGATATAAGAGGTATGCAGAAATGTGTGTGAACACAGTAAATTTTTTAGATTTTAAGATTTTTTGAACAATCCAAAGAGTTTGGTTAGGTAACCTCAACGAAGAGCTATATTTTTCATAGTAAATGTGTATTCATTGTACACCTATTTTATTTTTTTATCTTACATAAATTAAAAAAGATCTTAGACATGGTTAACAAATCTACAGATTTATTATGAAGTATATTAAGCCATCTAAAAAGAAAAAAAAAAACCAAATATTGATTAATAAAAAAGGAGTTTCATTTTTGGCTCTTGACCCTCTCAAAGAGGATGAAATATACTTTCTCTATCACGTCAATGGAATAACATATGTCCTTGATATTTCGATGATTGTTCAGGAGGAAACTTTTGTGTTTTTTCTAAATTCTTTAAAGTAATTAGGGATAAAGGTTTGAAAAATATCCCAACTTTGGTCGAATTTGTTGTTGCGATACTAAACTTTCATGAGGACCTATTACATCCTTAGACTATTTAATACCGTATTTTTTACCCTCTGAACTATTTAATAGTGTATTTTAAAGGTATATATATGCACACGTGGATACATTACTATTTATAATTTTGCATTATTTTTTATGTTCACGTGGGCAAATATATATGTTTAAAATATGATATTAAATAGTCTAGGGAGGTAATAAGTCCTCATGAAAGTTTAGTATCGCAACAACAAATTCGACCAAAGTTGAGGTATTTTTCAGACCCTTATCCTAAGTAATTAAATAAAATTATTATTTTTTAATCAAAAAAACAATATACATTAATCAAACTCAGTAATATGTCAAACAAAATGAAACATGTGCTCTAAGATTTCATATTCCATTACAAAAACAAACATATATACAAATGAAGTTGATTTTAAAAAAAGTATTCACATAATAATCCATGAGTTAGTGCCATCATATATGACCCAGCCAGGCAACAACTAAATGTAGTTCAAAAACAATTTATGAGAAACTGGCATAGCTCCTTTGTCATTCCTCTTGCAACTCCATATAAAGTAAACAGCTCCAAGTAGTTCTTTGGCATCTTACTTTTCGACTTTCAGATTTTGCGTACATCAAATATGCATCCCCGCTGATTTACAAGTTGAAAAACGCATTCATCTCCTGGATTAAGGCCATAAGTTGCAGTAACTTGTTTCCAACCACATGTCAAAACATTAAAACCTGATCTGCTATAATAAAGGGTAGGCCAGATTCTTTTATCTGGTCCTCGGAGATAAATAATCATCCTTCCTAGCTTTGCCTTTTGCAGTAAATATTTTCGCCAGGATTCTGGTAATTCCTGCACAGATATAAAGGAGGTCTAGATTGAATGAGAGAAAAAAGGGATATACAGACTGGGAACAAAGAGAATTTCAGTCAAGTACAAGCAATTAATTGCAACATAGAGCAGACTAGATTCTCAAAGCAACATGCCTGAAATCACACGAGAAAAGAACGTCCAGGGTGGTCAGGTGATTAAAAAAATGGAATTCAGTACCAGCAATATAATGTAAGTGCTGCTTAACATGGTATCCAGATGATGAAAGGACCAGAACTCTCGAAAAACAATGTAAATGGCAGGTCTTGCTTCACAAAAAAATTAGTGCTCCTTTTCCTATATGACATCTTCCTCTTTAGAATATAAACCAAAGAATCAAAATATCTTATTTTCCACCTAACAGAATGTTTGCGTACACAAGAGTTGATGGAAATCAGCCAGTTGCTTTGAAGAAAAGAAGTATAACAAAGAGAGGTCTTACTAATCAATTGATTCCTCTATTTCGAGAAAATCATACCTCACAATTATTCAAGGACATCCACAATAAGAAAACATATTCATTAACTTTAGATTTAAAGAAACAGTGTCATCATTGGCATGTCCTGCTTCGCAGGCGCTAAACTTGAAACATAATTATAGTTGATCAAAGTATAAATAATAAGTTATTGTGTGTAATTTCGAGATGCCCATTTTAAACAAATTAGAGTGGCAAAAAAGACAAAAGTTTTACCAAATCCGGTGTACATGTATTTTTTCATTTCAACATCTGAGTTACAAAGTAATCATCACTTTACTTCAATGTTCAGAATTTTCAAAAAAAACAGTTTATAGTGTCAAGCCTAAAGGTGTCCTGGAAAAGACATTATTCCCTCTTAACATCTTCATGCAAAAGTTTGATGAAAAGAATGTTAAAAACTTAAAATGAATGCGTCTTCAGCGGTAAACTCACGACACATATCAACTCGAGCAGTGTGCAAGCCAGTATGGATAAATATTCATAGAGAACTGATAGCATCCATGGTGGCATACCTCTATTAGGACTTAATGAAGTTCAAGAAGCTAAGAAGATGGCGACATGCGAGACAATGTTGTTGGGCTACAATGGAAAATCAAGAAGATGCTCATCGTGTAAGAAGAGCCCAAGAATTGTGACTTAGAGTAGGCTAAGCACAATATTTCATAGTCCAAGTTCAAGCTTGAGGGATAAAGATTGGGGCCCATATAGAGCACAAAAAGAACTGAAAAGCAAGCCCAAGTTGGCTTGAATTACACGTCCAAAGGGTCTGGAAATTATGCTCAAAAGAGCTGAAATTTGGCTTGCATTTGTTTGGTCCAAGTATTGCCACTTCCTTATTTTGTTAGGTATTTTTGTGAAGTGTGACATTGATTTTACATGTTTTCCTAGTTTAACTTTACCTAGTTTTAAGTTTTCTAGTTAGATTTTACTACTTATTATTTCCATGAAATTAGAATTCAAATCTCATGATGTCTAGAGAGGGGTGCACGATTTGCCCTTACATATAGAGTTCTTTAAGTTTTTCGGGCACAACATTGTTATGGATATTATTGAGAGATTTTTTATTTATAGTTTACAGTACACTAGCTGGAATTTTTTTTATCATGTACACTACTTGGTATTTATCTTATAAAAACGATTCTTTTAAGGGGTAAAAATATATTCTTTGCTTGATTTTTATGGTTCTTACTCAATTAATTGAAGAAGGTAATTAATTTTATATAAATTATTGTCTTTAATTGTTCAATTGGGGGGTTTTTTTTTTATCATGTACACTACTTGGTATTTATCTTATAAAAACGATTCTTTTAAGGGGTAAAAATATATTATTTGCTTGATTTTTATGGTTCTTACTCAATTAATTGAAGAAGGTAATTAATTTTATATAAATTATTGTCTTTAATTGTTCAATTGGGGGGGTTTAGATCACTTTCATTTGTATTTTTCGTTTTGGCATTATTTTCTTGTTTTTCATTCAAATAACCCGATTCTTATCAAGACCACATCAAATAGTAGAAAATTGCAATCCACCAACAAAATGACGGAGCGTATGATATTTTAACTAGGTGTTACCAGAAAATCTCGGCCATCGATCTCCACCAAACATGAATAGTTTACTGCATTAAGGGATGGTGCGTCTCCTGAATCAGCAGGCTCACTTTTGATGACTTTTTCATTACCATTTGCATACTCTCCTCCTGAATCATGTACATAACAAACAGCAAGAAGATGCTTAAAGGCATTTCAAAGCAAAACACCAACATGCCATGGGCAGTTACGAAAAAGGAAACCGGATTAAATAAGTTGAGAAGATATATAAGAATGAAATAAAAAGCTTAACATGTATTGCTCTAGCAGGAGAAAATGCTTCTGTTGTTATCTCCTCGAATTCTTTCTTCACTAGTCTTGCTTCCCTAGCTTCATGTGGCAAAAAGATTTACCAATGTAAAATCCTTTAAAGTCACAAGATAAGGATCATGTATACTAGCCAATCAAGTGAAGCTCAAAATCTGATCAGACCTAAATTAAAATCAACAATTTCATGTCAAAAATTCTTAATTCCTACTTTGGATATGTGATTGGATTCAATATGGGTAACGGTTTTGCTTCTATTTTAGAAAGAACAAGATTTTCACGAAAGGCTGAAAGAAGAAGGAAATAAGCTGGTGATGGAGAGTGGTATAGCCTCAGGGGCTTGTAAGGGGAACATGTGATAGGAAAGGCTCGTCTTTTGGGATGGAAGGAGTAGGGGCTATTCAATGGCCAATGTCCTAATACAGAGGACATGATCAGTACAAC